ATATTTTAAACTTTGTTTCCTTAGACTTCTGTTTTTCATTTTGCCTCCAAGGAATGTAATATCTTTTCTGATATCAATCTCTTAATGTCAGTTTTTGCTTTTAATCAATTATTTTAACTGGAGTGTTGTAAAAATTATTAAATATTCAAGCATAATAAAGCAAGAAAAATAATTATTTGTAAATATGACTTTAAATCATTCTTCCTCTACAGTTGAGAAACCCCTTAATAGAAAGTAGTATATAATGTACAGCATAGATGTTATATACTTAATAAATGTAAGCTGATTAAAGCCATCACTTTTATATTCTATCTCCTCCAAAAAAACCTTAGATATGATTTCTTTTTGGTACCAGGGATCGAACTCCAGTCCTTGTGCTTGCGAGGCAGGCAGCAGAACCACTGAGCTAAATCCCCGGCCCTTAGATATGATTTCTTTCAGAAATTCAATCATCTAGGAATCTGCATGTAGTTTTCATTTTATTTTCAGAAGTAGTATTTTCAATGAATAAAAGTGATGTCAAAAACCCAAAATTGCTAATTGTATTTTGTTTTTTGTGATGTTAGGGATTAAATCCTAAGCTTTATGTGTGCTGAGCAAGCACTCTGCCAATGAGATAAAATCCTAGCCCCAAATTATATCTTAAAACTGTCATCTGCTGAGGATGTAGCTCTGTTGTATTGAGCTTGCCTATAATGAACAAGGCCATGGGTTCAATCCCAACCACTGAACAAAAACAAACTGCTTTTTAACTTAGCTTTTCCTAATTAATCTTTCACTATAAAATCATCTATTTAGAAACATATTTTACACAGTGACTTATTTAAATGCAAAATAAAGAACAATTACAAATTTTAGCCAAATAGCTGAATTCATTAGGAAGGAGTAAAAAATGCATAAATGTTAGCTGTCGTTATATGTGCATACAAATTAAATATTTTTCCACTATGAAAACAATGAAGATTGTGGAAATCTTGGTATAGTTCCATAACGGGGAATAGCTAACTACTACTGATAAGTATAATGTCCTTCAAGGATACCACATAGCAAAATGAAATCAAACATAAAAACAAAAATGCTGCTCTTACAAATCATTCTGATGGTGATTACAGAACACTATGATTTTTAAAATGCATATTAT